CCCATCCTTGGAGACGGTAGGTACGGTGGCCACCTGGAAGGCTGTGCACTCTATAGAGTAGAGTGCTATAGAGTAGAGAAGCTGACCTTGGCTGTGGCAGCCTTTCTTTGGGGTGTGCTGCAGCACACTCTATAACCAGAAGATGGATTTCCCACCCTGGGGCACACTGCTATTTTATGTCCCAAGAGTAAGGACTGCCCCACTCCCAGGACAACCGGAGAATGGAAGATTTGTATTCACTTACTGTGAAGCTTCCTTCTCGGTGGTCCGGGAGTGGGGCAGTCCTACCCACCCAGTTTTGGGGGGCAGCTCCTGGAGGTTATTTTGGAGGAACATTTATGAAGTTTCTCTGAGACACTAAAACAAAAAATTGTGAGTTAATTGGGTGAGAGAGCAACAGAAGGTTTCAACCTTGGTCTACACCCGCTGGAGGGGCATAAAGTTACAAGACTGGTTGCCCCAAAAATGGAGTTTCACTATGGTGGGGAAAAGTGTTTTTTCCTTTCCTTAGTGTGATGTTAGGGGATGCACAGCTTGGAGATTTCACTATGGTGGGGAGAAGTGTTTTTTCCTTTCCTTAGTGTGATGTTAGGGGATGCATGGCTTGGAGATGACTGGGATGTTCCCAGTGGACAGGTCCCTCCCCTTCCTGGATTGATCTGAGGAAACCGACCCTGTTACAGAGGGAGGAGCCTATTCCCAAGAGTAAGGACTGCCCCACTCCCGGACTACCGAGAAGGAAGCTTCACGGTAAGTGAATACAAATCTTCCATTCATGCATAATGAACTAGTGATGAAGGTAACATTTGTTTCTAATTGCATGTTCAGAGTTCTTCTCCTAGAGCAGCAGTCCCCAACCTTTTTGAACCTGCTGGCACCTTTGGAATTCTGATACAGAACTCGGCACGGCCACAAAATGGATACCACAAAATGGCTGCTGTGAGAGGTGGAACCAGCTAAAAGATTTTTGCTCTCGCTTACTGTCAGTCACACACTGAAGACGCTTGTGCTGTGGTGACAGCTGCTGCCAAAGTAATGTTTTTAAAAATCTGCACAGCCAATCAGATGACTTGCTGGGCAAAAGCCCCATCTGGTCCCACCCACATTCAAAAAACACTTAGTGGGCACCAGAAAAGGTGTTGACAGGCACCATGTCACCTACTGACACCATGTTGGGGACCCCTGCCCTAGAGTCTAAGACGAGGATTTGCACTTTGTAGAGGGTGGAAAGGAACTTCTTGAAAGAGCTGGTGTTATTTTCATGGACAGAAATGCACTTCTGTAATGTTTGCTTTTGTTTAAAGGTGAGCGATCTTAAATAAATAAGATTCAGATGAGTAGTCATGTTGTTCTGAAGCAGCAGAACGAAGTTTGTGTCCAGTGGCACCTTAACAACCAACAAAGAAAATCTTGTTGGTCTTAAAGGTGCCACTGAACTCACACTCTGTTCTTAAGTTACTTTATATTTTATATGGTCCGTAGATATTCTTAACAGCTGTGTGTTTTACACTTGAAGGTAACAAGCACAAATGGGTGCCACTTCATTTGGATGATATGAAACCAGATAGCCAAGATAGATCAGGGTCTCGGAACAATTCAAGATCTCAACTGGAAACAAGCAAGCTTGTTCCTCACAACAACAGACGTAATGAGACAAGAACTAGTATGTTAAAATTTTACTGATTATCTTTTACTTATCATTGTTATATGCTTGTTGTTCAAATCTGTTGTGTGACTACTTGAACTTTTGCTTACTTTACAATATAAGAACTCGTGGGCACTCAATGAAATTGCTGAGCAGTTGGGTTAGAACAGATAAAAGGAAGTACTACTTCAGCCAAAGAGTGATTAACTCATGGAATTCACTGCCACAGGAGGTGGTGGCGGCTACAAGCATGGACAACTTCAAGAGCATATGGAGCAGAGGTCCTTTGGTGGCTATTAGCCACAAGGTATAGATAGGGACTCTTGGTCTGGGGCAAGGAATGCTCTGTATTCTTGGTGCTTGGGGGGGGGGTGCCATAGTGGGAGGGCTTCTAGTGTCTTGGCCCCACTGCTGGACCTCCTGATGGCACCTTGTATTTTTGGCCAATGTGTGACACAGTGTTGGACCGGATGGGCCATTGGCCTGATCCAACATTGGCTTCTCTTATGTTCTTATACTCACAACCACCCTGCAAGGTAGGTTAGTCTGAGCGTGCATGACTGGCCCAAGGTCACTCAGCAAGCTTCCGTGGCAGAGTGGTGATTTCAGTCTGGGTCTCCTAGATCTAATCCAACACTCCAAGCACTACACCACACTGGCTTTTCAAGACTTGATGAGCCAAGAGTACAGCATCTCAAACAAGGGTCTCCAGCCTTTCTGAGCCTCTGGGCACCTTTGGAATTCTGACACAACATGATGACTGCTGCATGGTGTTGTAATTCTGAGCAGAGAGCGATGTGTAAGAAATGGTTAACCCTTTGCTGCTTGCCTTTTTTTTCTTTTAAGGTGTCCCATCAAGCCCCACATCACATATGCAAAGCAACAGTACAGTCCTCAGTCATATGCACTCCATTATGATGAGAGAAAAGGCCCAGGCACAGTCCACATTCTGCACGTAAATGGGGGAATATGTGAATGGATTTTCCCTTTGCACCAGATTTCGTCAGTCCCCTCAACTAACTTAGTTTATTTACTTCATTTATATACCACCTTTCTCCCCAATGTAAGCAAAGGGGCCTACATCATTCTCCTGTCCTATATTGGTGTCCCCATAGAAGAACTCGTGGGCACTCCATGAAATTGCTGAGTGGTCAGGTTAGAATAGATAAAAGGAAGTCCTTCTTCACCCAAAGAGTGATTAAGACATGGAATTCACTGCCACAGGAGGTGGTGGCAGCTACAAGCATGGACGGCTTCAAGAGGGAATTAGATAAGCATATGGAGCAGAAGTCCCATCAGTGGCTATTAGCCACAAGGTATAGATAGGAACTCTCAGGCTGGGGCATGTGATGCTCTGTATTCTTGGTGCTTGGGGGGAGCAACAGTGGGAGGGCTACTGGTGTCCTGACCCCACTGCTGGACCTCCTGATGGCACCTGGAATTTTTGGCCACAGAGTGTTGGACTGGATGGGCCATTGGCCTGATCCAACATTGGCTTCTCTTATGTTCTTATGTTTTTATGTTTCCAAAGGCTGGCGACGAGACTGGGATAAACGAGATGATCATGATGAAGTCTCTAGTGTGAGAAGCGAAGGTGGCAGTGTTCGAGGATTTTACAGAGGAAGAGGGAGGGGAAGGGGGAGAGGAAGAGGACGTGGAAGAGCAAACCCTCGAAGTATGAAAATAGTCATTGAATAGTATTCAGCACTGGCACATTAGGCTGTAGAACTTCTCCCTCTATAGTGTATATTTATGTGTTTGTACCTCAAGCCAATGATTCTCTGTGTGTTGTGACCCAAATGTGGGCTGCAGCTCTCTTGTTGGAGGATTGTGACGTTCAGTCTCCTGAGCCTGTATAGAAGGCATTAAGTTCACTGCCTTCCAGCAGAAGAGAGGAAAATAGAAGGCAGAGCATTCTCTCTTCTTACTGTTGTTCACTTCATGGCTCCCTTCATTTTTGGGTGCTCAAAAATGGTGGCATATGTGCCATGTTGAAGGAATGAATTGTATAAGTCATTTTTCTAGTGTGAAAAGATCTGTCCTGAGCTGAGTACTTCTGTGTATCATTATGCTCCAACACCCTGATAATTGTAGCTGCCCTCTTCTGTACCTTCTCTAATTCCTTGTTGACCTATTTAAGATGCAGCAGCTGGATGTGGGCAGAGCTGTGAGTGTGATCACTCCATAGATTTATATAATTTCTGATATGTATGCACACTCACCCCCCCCCCATGCCTTCAATGTGTCTGTCTCCTCCCTGCCAATTATCCTCTTCATTCCCATGGCACAAGCCTTATCTTTTCCAAAACAGGGAGGCAAGTGGCTGTTAAAACACATGATACATTCCAGCTGGGGCCTTTGTTTCCTGAAAAATTACTCCTTAAAACAGTGATACTCAGTGGCTCAGGAGCCACCTGTGGCTCTTTTGAACACTGTTGACCCATTTATTTATTTGGAGAATTTTTATGCCACTTCTCCAGGAAACCTGCCCATCTTCACCGTATTTTCCAGGAAAGATGACAACTTCTTTAAACATTGGGATAATTTCATCATTTTTATGCGCCCAATAATTGTATTTTTAAAACACACCATAACTTGTCCATGACAGTTATATCAAGTTTGTGGATATTTAGGGGTTCTCTGTATGATTCTTAGTGAACATATGCATAAATGAGGTGATGGAATTCTAGGCCATCAAACAAAACCCCAAGCACAGAGACCTCTTCTTTCTACAATAACTAAAGTAAAACATGAGGAAACATTTAATGTAATAAAGCATTTATTTTTTAACATCCAGTAAAATAGATTTCTGGAGAACTCAAAAGCTTGTGCACTACCTTGTGTCATAACTCTGACTGCAATCCAGTTAGTTCTGAGCATGTTGCTAGTTGTCAGCGTAATAATGAATGACATTGGTTGTGCAGACATAAATACACCCAAACAATGGCATATTTTACACTGCAGATAAATCAGCAGCACAAACATAAGGGATGTTTCAAGAAAAATTGGCTTTGCGAGCATGGTAAACTTAATTTCATTGCTTTGTAATTTGAGAGGATCATATCACTAATACTTTCGTTAAGACACTTGTCATTTCTTAAATTGACCTCTGGACGGAAGTCAAGAATGGGATCCCAGAATCACTACACCCCTTTTAAAAAAAAATTATTTTCTACATAACACCTACAAAAACTACACACTAACTAAAATTACAGCTATACAACGACCACATATGATAATAATATTTTCTTAAGTCAAAGCTTTTCTCTTATTCAGGTTAAGAATAAAAATTCCATTCTATTGTTTCAATATGCAGAAAATTAAAATTGTTAACAATGCAAGATTATGTAATGTAATATAAACGTTTCTTCTAAAGTTTAAGCTACTTTGTGCCTTTCTTTTCGCTCTTCTTGTTTTTATCGTGCCGGGGTGGTGTGGATGCTGCCACTCCCAATTCTGATTCAGATTCTACTTCTGAGCTGCCATCTACGGATGTTTCGTGGCTTTCCAAGCCATGCTGACTGTCCAGTTCTCCTTCTTCTTCCTCCTCTGTGTTCTTTGTATCTTTTTTGGGTTCTTGATGTCTCTCCAAAAACTGCTTCGCTTTGGTAAAAGAGTCAATCTTTTCCTTTTTGCCTTTGTAGTTGAACATCAAGCCTTCAGGTAGTATCCATTGGTAGGTAGTGGAGTTTTCCCGTAGATAGCTGGTTAAGTTCTTGTATTGTTTTCTCTTCTGTCTTATCTCAAATGGAATGTCTTTCAATATTCTGATGTCCTGTTCTTTAATTTTCAGTGTATTCCCAGATGTTGCTTTCAGTATTGCATCTCTTATAGATCTCTTAGAGAATCTGACATATATTTCACCAGGCAGGTTATTTTTCTTAATAAATTCTGAATATGTCCAATAGATCATATCCATTTCGCTTTGTAGTGCTTCCGCCTTAATGCCTGTCATTGGTGCAAGCGCTTCACTAAGGATTTCTTTCAGATTCTCGGATTTGTCTTCTGGCACTCCTTGAAATCTCAACACATATGAAGGTTTTTCCATTTGTAGCTGCAAAAGTTGAGTTTTATCTGAAGATCTTTCTTTTTCCACAACTTCCAGTCTTTGGTCAATTGCTTTAGTCTTGTTTTCAACTGCCTCTGTTCTTTTGTTGGATTCTTTTAGCTGTTTTTGTAAAAACTCCAAGGTCTTGCTAATGTTAGTCATCTGTGCCACCAGAGGCCGCAATACAGTATCCAGCATGCCTGCAAAGTCCCAGAATCACTACACCCTTCTGACAGGGCTCTTTTGGCTTCAAACAAGGGAAGGCCATAGACCCATGTGAGGGTGGTAGGAGCTACCACTGCCCCGGGCTTACTGCCTGAGTCTTGGACATTGCAAGGCTGAGCTGCTGCCTGCTGCCACAAGGAACCCTGCTGCTTTGTCTTTCTTCCCTCTTTTTGGGGGGGCATAAATGGGACAGGGCCCTTTCCAGAGCCATTTTTTGCCTCTCAGTGCCCCTGATAAATGGGTGTGAAGCAGAAATCAGCTGTAGGG